GGGGGGGGGGGGGCACGGAGAGACAGACAGACGGAGAAGGCTCTTCGCACACCACAACAATACCATACACTCTGCTGATGCCGCAAAATCTGACAAACAAGTACCGGATCTTTCCAACAGTGGGAGAAGCAACAAGCAAAGAGAGAGGTCCCTTCCTTCTAGCCTCAGGCATACACAACGTGGTGCACTATCGATTATCAATTGCGGGAGTACCCCTCCCATCCTCCCGTCGCTCAGTGACATGTATAGTTGTTGTCGACATGCCCACGACTATGAAACATAAATATTTGACCACTCGAAGTCGGACTACTGTACCTCTCGTGCTGCCGCAATACACAAACGACAACACTTGACGGCTGAAAAGCGGCTACCGTTCACCGAAAAAAAAATGCGCCCATGCTTACGTTGCGGTCTTGCACGAGTTGCTTGGTGTTTTGCACCAACCCAAAGATGAAAGTCAGGGCTTCCTTTGCCCAGGCCTCCTGTATCTTGTCCACCATCGCCTTGACCTGCTGAGGGCTCTTGCCACTCACGAACACATCCTGGTCGTAGTCTGCTGCGTCCCCCGGAAACTCGCCCTCACTACCGCCGTCACTCATGTCGTCGTCCCCCTCAGGCTCCTGTTCGTACTCCGCTTCGTCATCACCCCCTTATCCACCCCTACCGCACGTACGGCTCCGAATACCCTGCCGGCTGTGCTTCTTACAAAACATACCGCAGGGAGATTTCGCTTCGGCCCCACAGGGCTCCCCTTGCTTAGGGCCGCTTGCGAATTTTGCAGTGCAAGTGCTGCGGCGCCTCCGCTTTCCCAGCTTCATTTTTGAGGGAGCTACGCCGGCACCGCCTCCCTCTAGCGTCTCCNTATCATGTCGTCGTCTCCCTCAGGCTCCTGTTCGTACTCCGCTTCGTCATCACCCCCTTATCCACCCCTACCGCACGTACGGCTCCGAATACCCTGCCGGCTGTGCTTCTTACAAAACATACCGCAGGGAGATTTCGCTTCGGCCCCACAGGGCTCCCCTTGCTTAGGGCCGCTTGCGAATTTTGCAGTGCAAGTGCTGCGGCGCCTCCGCTTTCCCAGCTTCATTTTTGAGGGAGCTACGCCGGCACCGCCTCCCTCTAGCGTCTCCGACCCCGCAGCATCTTCCGCTTTGCTGCTGTAGAGCTCGAGTGGTTTCTCCTTCGGCATGGGCTTCTCCTTCGACCTGGTCGTTGCCGACATGCCGCTGGCGGAAGGAAGTACCGCGGGCTTCGTCACCGCTTTCCCGGGCGGCGTTGTCTTCCGCTCCGGTACATCCCTGGGTGACGCCGTTTTGACGGGCCGGGCACCTCCAGCAGAACGTCGCGATCGCACGCTGCTGCTTGTCTCGGTCTCGTCATCCACGTCGATCGGCACGGGAGAGCCCTGATGTTTCATCGGACGCTTGTCCGATGTGGTTGGGCACAGGCAAAAATTGTCTGGAGGCTTCTCGTGCCCAAACACAGATCGACCAGAGGATCCCCGTTGTAGCATATACGGCTTTGCCCATGGGAAGAATTCTTGTGGGATCACGATGGCGCTAAAGTGGTTGAATTTTGTTTCCGCCACGTTGCTGCTACTTGGGTTGCGCACTGTAGTCGTACCCGCAGCATACGTAGTTGGGTTGTAGCCCCCGAAGTCATTGTACACCAGGTGCAGAAACTCATCCCGACAAAGATCGCCAACGAAACAGCCCGTGGTGTCGCCTACTTCCACGATTAGAAGCCCACCTCCACTCGTTGCGTCCCAGACCACGATATTGCAACGTTTCACCGCAGCTACTAACGCCAGCTGACCTACCGCCAAGTAATCGTGCTCCAGTTGATCCTCGATGCCCGCCACCACCTCTCGCACAGTCTTCAGTGGTTTGTGTCTTACAGCTCTTGCAGCTCGGCCGGCGGAGGGGGTGCGCTTTCGGTGGAAACCCCTTTCGTAGTCGAACTTGCCAAGTCTCAGCATTTCCTCGTCAGACACCGTGTTGTCCACTAGCTGCTCGTAGTCCTCAGAGAAAACAGCAGCTATCATTTCCAGGGCGACATCTTTGCGGGTCTGTGTTAACTCGCGTGCTAGTGCACCGAAGACGCTATCTCGCTCGGGGTGCAGCAGCCTGTAGATGCTGTGCAGAGCGCAATGACCATCGCCTGCTACCTTCAGCACCTTGCAATTGATGGTGTCCTCGGGGGAGATAACTGGGAGACCACCGCCAGTACGCGTTGAGGCTGCATGCAGCAGTTGTCGGCCGTGCTTTTGTGCATCTTGTTCCCAAGATGTCATGTGTCTGTCTTGCCAACCGGGGTTCGCACCAGCATACCACGAGTGTGTGTGTGTGTGTGTGTTGCATCCTGAAGCTCCGCAGCGGCGTGCGGCCCATCATAGCATACAACATTCGTCGGATGACCATTGGCCGCACTCTCACAGTCTCGCAAGGCACGAGATCACGCCAGAGAGTTATTTCAACAAAAAATCGCACGAAAGATGTAACTTGGAATCGCTCGCATACCAAATGTAAGTAATAAAGAAAAAAATAGCAAAAAGATGGGGCCAAAAGATGGCCCCAAAAGTCGATTTAGCCCTTAAGGGGTTAAGATGCAAAAATGAATAAATAGACGCCGTTGGGCACTGCCACTACGCGCTACTGTAATAAACAGAGTACATCGCTGTCCCTATGTGCGCCTCGCAGTGTCACAATATTCTGCGTTCGACGAAGGGGTTACAGCAGTCGTCTGTCGTTGCGCAGATACTTGACGTAAGATGACACCCCCTCCAATTTCTCTGCGCCGCGATTTGAAGCACTCTTTGATAGAGAGCCTGCAGAACCGGCCCGCACTTAAGAATATGGACGTTAAGAATTTGAGCCTAAAAAAATCCAATTTTTAAGAATTTGCCCGTAAGAACGTGCTCAGATCGGACCTGCTGTTAAGAATAAGAACCTCCAGTGAGGTGTACGACTGGTGCTACAGATAAGAACATACTACATGAAGCGGCGGTGGCGAGAGAAGAACATACACAGATGGAGGAGGAGGGGGGGGGGGGGGCGTTCCCAGGTTTGGTAGTTGGTACCTACCTAGAC